AATTATATAATTTATATTGTAGCTATCATCACCACTCTTTGCCTTAAATGGAAAATATACATTTTCTATAATATCTGTAACTAGAAAATACAGTTTCTGGAAGCTTAAATATCATTCCCCCATTATCTTCCACTGTAATATGATGCTTATATTACTGGATAATAAAATCTCATAAAGAGTTAATAAACAAGAAGAAGGTAAAATTTAGAGTCAGATATTTAAGGGTAAAATGCTAATTACCTGGGAAGCAAAAAATAAACCTAGGCATAAATAAGAGTACTGAAGTAAAAAACTATAAGCAAATTCTAGTGTCTGTCTCATGTGAAGTGACAGAAGGTGAGTTTGCCCAGAGCAATAACGAATGTTTTGACTATATTGATTTCACTGTTTGCCCATTTCAGATGTATTTTCCCATTAAATTTCACACCGCAGCTAATTTCTGTGGTCTTCTCTGGCATCTTTGCCATTGTGTGTTGTGTGCCCATATTAGCATCTTTGTGCATCTTGGAGAGGGGTTGTGTATAATCTAAAACCTGAGGTTTGGTCTCTCTTGGCTCTACTCAGTGATGACAGTGGGGCAAGTCTACCCAGCAAGATACATGTAGAGAAAAGAAGATGTTCCTTCCATAGCTTCAAGACACCTTGAGAGGAATGTATGCATGTGTGTGAACTCCTTCAGGATCAATGAGGATCTTAGCATGGAGGTGGGAACAGTGACAAGAAAACCATGGTCACTAGGGGTCTGTATTGGCCTCATCCTCCATTTAGTTGACCCAGCTAAACATGACACCATGGGGAGGCCACTGGAAATGGACTCCGCGGCAGATACTGACCCTCTGGGGGCTCAAAATCCGAAAGACTCAACTTGCAAAAAGAGACACATTAGAAAGTTTGATTTACTTTACAAAGTGCTATTAAGCTCTTCAGTCCATTCATTACTTAAGAAACTCTGTCTACCGTGTGCTGAGTGCTCGCCTTGGTGGTGAGAATTTCGCAGGTGATATGGCTGTGATCCTGCTATAAGGGATAGCAGCATCTGTCCCCAGTGACACACCTGGCGTGAAATCTCTTAGAAGACAACTGCCAGAGTAGAGACAGGTATAAAGTGCAGTGACACCACCAGAAAGGGTGGCAAGAGCATTCTAAATACCTCTAATTTCTCATTTTAAATTCTAAAATGTCCCTTAATTTATAATATCTCTATGTATTGGGCCTCGTTTATTCTTCGATTGACTTGGCTGAACCAACTTGTCACCTTATTTCTGAACCCTTTTTTGATCTCTCCAATAGAGTAAATTCTCCCTTTTCTAGTTTCCCTTTATTTGTTAAGCCAGTGAGACTACGATTTAGAGGTGACTAGTGTAATATTTGCTATGTATACACCTTTCTGCCTGGACACTAAACTACCTGAGAACAAGCTCTTTGACTTATATATTCTGTACTAGCAGAGTGCACAGGACATAATAAATGCGCAATTAATGCACGAATGTTTGTTGAATTGAATTTGAGAATTGCCCAAATTCAAAGCAGAGATGAATGAC